CACTTATGTATTTATAGTGTTTCAAAGTACGATAGCAAATGCTAATGATTAATACTATGAATATTCATAATATTGTAAAAGATATATAAAAATGAATAGAAGAAATAAATAAATGAGAAATATCCAATGAAAACAACAGTAATTAAATAAGTTGAAAAGAAATAAATACATAAATAAAGTAATAATAAACAACATATCATGATAATAATAAGATTATTAATAATTTATTTGGTAAACATGTTTATTGATTCTATTATTTTTATATTCATGTTATTCTAATTATTGTTAATAATTTATATGATATTTTATTTTATTAATTTGTTGTTTATTACTCTTAACAAAGAATCATATTATTTAATCTTTGTATGTTATTGTCTATTATTCTTATCATTATATTCTCTTTATTTCTTATTTGAATTTTAATTCTAAATGAATAAAATGATAATTTGATGATTGTAATAAATATTTTAATTATATTTATTTATTGAATGATTAAAATATAACTAATATATTATATAGATTAAAGAATAAATTCATTCAATATCATTTATTAATAACATATTTTCTTTTATTATCTGTTTATAATATATTTCAATAAAAAATGAATTGTTATAAATTATAGAAATTGAATAATGTATTATAATTAATATACCACTTCATTTATTTGTATCATTCTCTTTAATCGGTTATTTCATTATCACCAACCTTTCTCAAAACATTCATTTTGAATTATCTTATTATATTTTAATTTTTCATGAGAACCACAATTAAAGAAACAAGATTACTCAAATGTTGTAACTGATGATGGTATATTGATATTAGTTAATGATGTACATTCATAAAAAAATTATTTCCTATTTCAATAACTGATGTTGGTATATTGACTGGTGTTAATGATGAATAATAACAAAACATCTCTTCCTCAAGAAGTAACTCTTATTTGATATATTAATTTTAGTTCTTCACATCAAATAAAAGATTTGTCTCAAATTGATTTAACTTCTAATGATATTATATTACTATATTTATTTATAACATTCTTTTGTATATTTTATATATTTGCATATATTTCATTATTCTTTTCTTGTAGTATGTTGAATAATTAAATTTATACCATATTATTTCTTTAAATATTATTCTATCATTAAATATTTCATCATTTCTATTATAAACATGAAATATTTCAATATTGTGAAACAAATTTCTTGAATATTCATTTAAGTGGATTGGATTAAAATGAAATCGTTCATATTTCCTTGAAATCTTTTAATTTCAATTTCTAAATTAATAAAATCATTAATATCATTAAAATACATTGATACTATCATTATTGAATTATTCTTATTCTTCTTTTTTTTTCTTTTATTGTTTTTAATATTGTATAGTATTCTTTGATATTTATTATCATTTCTCTTCTTCATTCCCTTCTTTTTCTATCATTTCTATTATTGTTTTAATATATGTTTCTTCGTTGATTTCTTTATATTCAAATCTTTCTGTGCTTATTTTGATTTCTTTTTCTTGTTTTATTTTATTATTTATTATTATTTCCTTCTCTTCTTTTTCTTCTGATATTATTCTATTGATTTCTTTATTTTCTTCTATTCTATTGTTTATTCTTATAGTTTATTATTCTTATTTTTATCTTATCTCTTTCTTTTTTAATATTTCCATATGTCATTTCTGTATTTTCTATGATAATAATTGGTGTTTCTGTGTTATATTCTTCTGAAAGTATTCTTTCAATTATGTGATATTTCCGTATAATTTGTAGTACAATTAATACTCATTAATACAAATGGTATTGTTTTAAAAAACCCTCAGTTAAGTTGGGTTTTTAATTATTTAATTTCAATAGAACTAATACCAATGACATCGCTTTTGTGTTGATTAGTTTCTTTGTTGCTCTTTTTAAATAAACAAGTTATCATCATCCCTTTTTTTTTACTAATCTTTTTACCAACTTTCTCCATAATATTAACAATCATTTCATTAATAATATTCATAACAAAAATAACAATTTTTTATTTAATTAAAATAGAAAAGAATAGTATGTTTATTTTATGTTATATACCTCATTTTTATAAAAAATAAAAAGTAGAAATGAAAATTAATAATTTTTTTATTAATTTAAAAAAGACACGTCATTGATGTCAAATGTTTCAAAAAGATTCCGAAAAGAATAAAAAGAGAGTGAAAAGAAACTATTAAAACGAAAATGCAAATCTTTGTTAAGACTCTTACTGGTAAAACCATCACATTAGAAGTCGAACCAAACGACTCTATTGATGCTATTAAAGCCAAGATTCAAGAAAAAGAAGGAATTCCACCAGATCAACAAAGACTTATTTTTGCAGGAAAACAATTAGAAGAAGGAAAGACCCTTTCAGATTATAACATTCAAAAAGAATCAACACTTCATTTAGTCTTAAGATTAAGAGGAGGATATTAAAAGGTGTGTTTAGTCTCATTAAAGATTCTTTACATCCTTTTGTAATTGATTTTCAACTTTAGTTTTGAAGTTTTTTTTCTAAGTTAATTATTTGTTGGGGATTTAATGATAACATGAGATGACTATTTTGTATATAGAGAAATGTGGAGATAATGTTTTCCTTGGGTTCAACATAAGAAAGAATCAATAAAATAAAAATACATTCATAAGTATTAACAAAAGTAGTAAAAAAATTATAAAATATAATATTTTAGATAAAAGGAACTTCAAATAAAAAACCATAAAAAAGAAAAAAGAAAAAAAGATCTGATAAGACAAAATAAGAAAGAATGACAACACCAACTAAACTTCAAGTTTCCCAAATGCAAAAGATAAAATGGGTTGCAGAATGTGCAAAAGATTTTGAAGTAGTAGAAAAATTAGGAGAAGGTTCATATGGATCAGTATTTCATGCTATTCATAAACCAACTGGAACACATGCTGCAGTTAAAACAGTTAGAATTGATGGAGACACTACTGATGTAGAGAAAGAGATCGTTTTAATGAAACAATGTGATACTGATTATATTGTTAGATTTTTTGGTCATTTCTTTGTAGATAAAGATTTATGGATAGTGATGGAAATTTGTGGAGCAGGAAGTGTGTGTGATATTATGCATATATTAAATGCAACATTAGATGAAAGAGAAATTCAAATTATATTAAAAGATACATTACATGGTCTTGCATATCTTCATAAAATGCATATGATTCATCGTGATATTAAAGCAGCGAATATTTTAGTTAGTGATGATGGAGTATGTAAGTTAGCTGATTTTGGAGTATCAACAAAGATGGGTGGAACAAATAAATTACAGAAAACATTAATTGGTACTCCTTATTGGATGGCACCAGAAGTTATTTTAGAAAGTGGACATAATGAAAAAGCTGATATTTGGTCAGTTGGTATAACTGCAATTGAAATGTTTGATGGAAGACCACCACATTCAGAACTTCATGCCATGAGAGCAATTTTCTTAATTCCTAATAGACCACCACCTACTTTAAGTGCACCTGAAGAAGTCTCTAAAGCATTTAATGATTTTATTGCTTTGTGCTGTGTAAAAAATTTTAGAGAACGACCATCTGCTTTAGAATTATTAAAATGTGATTTTATGAAACCTAATGGAAATCGTAAAAGAATTACTGATTTAATCGAAAAAGAAAATGAAGTAATTGCTGAATTTGGTTCTAGAAAGAAAGCTCTTGAACAAGGAGAAGAAGACGATGATGAGGAAGATGATGAGGATCAAGATGAAGAAGAAGATACTGAAGAAGATGACACTGAAGAAGAGGAAGAAGATGACGAAGAAGAAGATAGTGATGATGGAGATGACACAATGGTTATTAGAAAATAATAATTGAAAGAATTAAAATCATATTTTACATTTTATTAAGAAAATCCTTTTTATAAAAGTTCAAATTGTTTAGAGTAATTAGTTTAAAAGAACTTTAATTCATTCAAAAAGAAAGGTTTCTTTAAAGAACATATGTAGATTATCTTATTGCTGTTACTTCTGATAAAGAAGTAAGAACAACTTACTAGGTTAAAACAAGTACAAACTTTTGTTTAAAACCTGAAAATGAATATCAAAAATTAACTTTTTATTAGAAAATATTTGAAAAAGAATGAACCAAAAGGAGATAAAAAGAACAAATTAATAATTTGAAGAATTATTGTTGATATTGTTCTTCTTACAAATAAAAAGGAAATTAAATTAAAAAACCTTATTTCATTTGCAAATAAAAATAATCAATTATACATTTCTAAAGAAAAACAAATTAATAAAGAGTATTTGGAATTGAAAATTGATTGCAAAGACTTATTTTAAAAACTAAACAAAAATTAAAAAATTTTGTTCAACATGCAAAATCAAATAGAAAATACTTTTAAAAAAGACGTAGTCAAATTAATATTGAAAAAAAATTTAAATTAAGTCAAGTTATGAAATACAAACAAAACCAAATTCAAAACTTCAAATTAAAGAAAAAAAAATGAAATTCAAAGAATTAAACAACAATTTAACGAAAAATTCAAAAAAATGAATCAGAAACTAATTTAAAAAAAAAAATAAACAATTAGTTAGAAATTCAAATATTTTATGAAATTATTGAAAATAATAAAAGAAAATTATTAACTGAAATTTCTATTAGAACTCAAAAATTAAATGAATTAACTAAAATTGAAAATGAAAATGTTATACTTTATTCACAGGTAAAAATGAAAGATGAAAGTTTTTTAGAATTTTAAATTCGTTCAAATGAGTATATGAAATTTATTCAATTTAATGGAAAAAACAAATTGTTGAAAATGAAATTCAATTAACACGTCTGATTTAATAATTCAAGACTACTATTGATAACCAAACAGACGGATGGGAAAGAATTTTGTTTAATAACTAGTCCTTAGAAAAGGGCATGTAGTTTTTCTTCATTACACTGATAAAGGAGGTATCTCTGGGTGTTATATAAACCAAAAAACAACCAAAGACAATATTAATATTTTTGATGAAGACTATTTCATTTTCTCATTAGAAAAATCATAACAAAGTTATTTCACTAATGAAAGGTATAAAATTAAAAAATGTCATTTTTAAAGGAGTTTAAAAGTTGCTTTCAAAATTTGTGATGATGAATAGTTTTATTCAACTGGGGATATGATACTCTAATTCAATCCTTGTTTGATCAAAGGGTAGATATTCTTTTAATCTTATTTGTAATTATAATAAATGAATAACAGATATTATATGAATTAGAGATAAGAGAACCACTTAAAGTATCTTAACTATTAATAATTCAATTTTATTAATTTATTTTGTTTATTAAAAAGAAAAATAAAAAGTCTAAAAAGTATTCTCCCCGTTCGACACAGAACGACATTATTTTAATTACTTAGGCTTTAGTTGTTCTTTTTAAAGCGATTTTCAAATGTCTCATTCTTCCAGTTCCTTGGGTTCTTCTTCTAAGAGCTTTGTATCCCCATGCATATTGTCTCATTTTAGCATCTGGATATCCACATGAAGCACATCTTTGTTTTTGTAAATGCCATGATCTTTTTCCGCATCTTTTGCAAAGAATATGAGTTTTATTGTGTCTAGTACCTCTGCAGCTGGTTCCCTTAGTCATTCAGTCGAATCAACAATTCAAGTTCAAGGGTTTTTTTGAGATTTTTTTTAAGATTTTTTTCTCAGAAAATAATTAATTATAAAAAATTATATCATTAGTATAGTTATTTGTATTTTATATTAAGACAAAGAACAAATCAAAACTGAAGACTATGGCGAAAGAGGAACGTTCAATCAAGACAAAAGTTAAAAAGACATATTCTGAAATGAAAGAAATTAACGAGATTCAATCTCACTATAATAATACAAGAGGGTTACTTATTAGTCATAACCTTAAAAGAGAACGTGGAAGTAAAAAAGAAGTTAATGACTTATTAGACAGATTTTTAGTAGAAGATGAAAACAAAAATTTTGAAGATAATACAATTAGACATGAAGAAAAAGATGATGTTGACCAACAACTAGCAAAAGAATTAGAGGCATTAAAGAAAAAGAATTTTATTTATGAAACAGGTGTTGAATGTATGTTGTATTGTGAAGTACCTTATGATGCGATTCAAGTTGTTTCACAATTATTTGATGGAGCAAAGAAAGAAAGGATAGTAATGAAAGAAACACAAAAAATTGTACCTTTACAGAAAGTTGATATGGCATCTTCTATGGAAAAACTTCTCAAATCAGTAAAAGAATTATTAAATGAGGTTCATAGAGAAAATTATAACACTTTTGCTATTTCATATAATTGTCGTCATAATTCAAATTATAGTAGAGATATAGTTATTAAAAATGTAGCTGATTTGATGCCAAAAGAATGGAAAGTAAATTTAAAAGACCCAGACGTTACTGTTATGATAGAAATATTTTATAGAGGATTTGGAGTATCTTTTGTAGAAAGAGAGGTTATGAAGAAATATAATCATTTCAATATTCAACGATATATACAATCTGAATAACATTTTTAAAGTAATAATTGTTATTTTGATTTCAAAAAAGTTCAGGTTTTTATTAGAGTTAGAGAAAAATAATAAAAAAATAGAAAAGAAATAAAAAAGAATAATAAAAGAGAGGAAATGAACTCAAATATCAGAAGGGAAATTGAATGAACGCACCAGTCCTTGTTCTTAATACTAATACTAAAAGAGAGAATGGACGTAAAGCACAGTTGGCAAATATAATGGCAGGAAAAACTGTAGCAGATTTAATTCGAACATGTCTTGGACCTAAATCAATGTTAAAAATGTTAATTGATCCACAAGCAGGAGTTACTATTACATCAGATGGAAATTCTGTATTAAGAGATCTTACAGTAGAACATCCAGCAGCAAAATATATGATTGAATTATCAAGAACACAAGATGAAACTGTTGGAGATGGAACTACATCAGTAGTTATTCTTTGTGGAGAAGTATTACAAGTAGCAGAACCATGGATTCAAAAAGGAATTCATCCAACAATTATTATTTCAGGATTTCTTGATGCACTTGAAGATGCATTAAAATCATTACATGAAATATCAACTACAATAGATTTAAGTGATCCTAAAATTGTTTCAGGAGTTGTTAAAAGTTGTATTGGAACAACATTTATGAATACATGGAATGATATATTATGTAAATTAGCTATTGAAGCAGTTACTATTTGTGCAGGAGGAGATTTAATGAAAGCTAAAGGAAAAGAAGATATTGATACCAAAAGATATGCTCGTGTAGAAAAAATTGCAGGAGGAGATTTTAGTGAGTCAATGGTTATTAAAGGAGTTGTATTAAATAAAGATGTTGTTCATTCTAAAATGAGAAGAAGAATTGTTAAACCAAGAGTTGTTTTGTTAGATTGTTCATTAGAATATACTAAAGGAGAAAGTCAAACAGATGTTGAAGTTACAACAGCAACAGACTTTGGTAAATTAATAGAATTAGAAGAACAATATGTAAAGAGATTATGTGAAAATATTATTCGAGTTAAACCAGATTTAGTTATTACAGAAAAAGGTATTTCAGATATTGCACAACATTATCTTCAAAAAGCAGGAATATCCGCATTAAGAAGAGCACGTAAAAATGATAATTTAAGACTTGCTAGAGCAACAGGAGCAAGTATTGTTTATAGAACAGAAGATCTTAAAGAAACAGATGTTGGAATTGCAGGACTCTTTGAAGTAAAGAAAATAGGAGATGAATATTATGCATTTATTTCAGAATGTGAAAAATCAACAGCTTGTACCATTTTATTACGTGGTGGAAGTAAAGATGTTTTAAATGAAGTTGAAAGAAATTTACAAGATGCAATGGCATCATGTAAAAATTTAATTGCTAGACCTGAATTAGTTCCAGGAGGAGGAGCATCAGAAATGCATATTGCTACTACATTGTCTAAGAAAGCAAAGAATATTGAAGGTAAGAAACAATGGCCATATTCATCTATTGCTGTTGCTATGGAAGTTATTCCAAGAACATTAGCAGCTAATTGTGGAGTTGATGTAGTTAAAGTAATAACTGAATTAAGAGCAAAACATATTAGTAATAAAGAAAATTCAACATTTGGTATTGATGGAATGAAAGGAACTATTGTTGATATGAAAGAATTAGGAGTTTGGGAACCATATGAAGTTAAAGCTCAATGTATTAAAACTGCTATTGAAGCTGCATGTACTTTATTAAGAGTTGATGATGTAGTTAGTGGAATTAAGAATGAAAATTCAGGACAACAACAAAATCAAATGGGTACACAACAAGCTACAATGATGCCACAAGTTGAGTAAATCAAATTTTTTTATTTCATTTTTTTTTATTTTTAAATTTATTTTTTAAAAACAAAAATAAAATAAAAAAATGTTTTAAAAGTATCAATTGATAATAAAAAAATTTGATTTAGTTGCAAATTTTTCTCCAGACACAAGAATTACACTTTAATCCAGAACCAAATGCAACTTGCCATACTTTATCTCCTTTCTTTAATGTATCAATTCTTTCAATAAATTTCATTTCATACCATACAGATGAAGATGATGTATTTCCAACACGATAAAGAGTAGCTCTTGATGGCATACAATCTTCATCAGTAAGTTTTAAGTTTTCTTGAAGACCATCAATAATAGCTCTTCCACCTGCATGAATACAATAAGCTTGGAATGTTTCTCTGAAATTAGGCATGAAAGTTTCTTTAGCATCAATTTTTCCTAATTTTTGTTTAATAAAGAAAATAATAAATCTAAACATATCTCTATATGAAATTACTTGTGGCATTAAAATATTCATATTTTGTGTTAATGCTCTTGTAACACATTTTAATAATTCTCTACCAATTTTAACTCCAACTTTACCTTCACCATCTTCAAATTGGAATACTGCATGATATGAATCATCATATTTACCATGATGAATTCTAACTGTTGTAAGTAATTCAAATTTAGCTTTCTTTCTCCATGAATTTTTATTAGATAATAAGACAGCTGCACCTCCCATTCTAAATAATGTATTAGAAATTAACATTCCTTTTTCTTTACCATCATACCAATTTTGTGTAATATTCTCTGTTGAGAAAACAAGTAAATTAATATTTGGATATACATTAAGAAGGTCTCTTGCTAAATCAATAGAAACAAGTCCAGCTGAACATCCCATACCTGCTAAATTATAATTTTTACATGTTTGTTTTAATTTATACATATTCATTAACATAGCTGAAATTGATGGTGTTGGATTAAATAATGAACAATTACAAATAACAATATCAATGTCTTTACTTGGATCAATTCCTGTTTGTGCAAATAATTGATCACAACAATTTTTCATAACAATAGCACATTCTTCACGTGATAATGCCATAGTTGTTTTAAATGGATATTCATGGAATGGTCTTGGTAAATATGTTTCATTTCCAAGTCCTGTTCTATAAAGAAGTTTAGTTTGGAAGTCAATATATTGTTGTTCAAATAATCCACATTTAACAATAATATCTTTTACTCCATCTGCTGTAATTTTAAGATTATCATCTGGCCATGCTACAGCAAAATCAACTAAAAGAACTTGTCTTCTTCTTGTAGCCCAATAATAAACTCCTCCTGCAATTAATCCAAGAATAATTACAAATCCAACAATAAGAACACATTTATTACTTTCTACAAAAATTCCATTACTAACATCAAGGAAACTATACCACGTCTTATAACTTATATAAAGAATTATTATTGGAATTGAATATAAAATACTAGTTACTGTAAAGTCAATTCCTCTAGTTAAAGCTGATCCTCTATTAACATTAGCTTTTAATGATGGTAAAATTTCATTTTGTTCTCCAATTTCTTTTGGATACCAATAATCTTTTAAACTTCTTTCTTTATCTTGTTCACTTGACATTGAACTGATTGTTTTTAAGATGATAAAATGGTTTTTATTTAGATAGATTGTATTGAAAATGTATAAAAGAGCAAGTTCAGTGCTATTTCGCTTGAAAGAACTTGAAAACCCTATAGTTTATTTTTATTACCTTTCCACTTTTTTTTTTGAAATTGTCTCTTTTTTGCTGTCAATTATCAGCTTGCTTCTTCATTAATCGTTTCATAATTATTTCAATATTATTTAGGGTTTTTATTTTTTTTTAAAAGTTAGTTACTATTTTTTATATTATTTATTTTTTTCTTTATTTATTCTATTTTTGTTTCGAATGCTTCATATTATTTGTTTTTCAGTTCTTTTTTATCTTTTTTTAGTTTATCCTAAAAATACTTAACTTTTTTTGAAGTATTTAAAACTCAAAATAATTCTGTTTACAGCGATTATCATTTTTTGACCTTTTTATTAGTTGAATACTGTAACTTTGTTGGTACAAACATCTAAGTTTGGAAGAATTGCTTTTATTTTCTTATTAGTTTTATAATAGTATATAGTATATGAATTAAGATGATTTTATCATTATTATTGACAATAAAAAACAAATGAAAAATATCACTAATTGAAGGGGTTTTGTTTTAATTTATTTATCTCTCTTTTTTAAAAGAAAGTGTAATAAGTTTAATGTGTTTTATAACTAGTTAAGAGAAGTGAGTTTTAGATTAAAGCTTTTTCTTAAATTTCACTCGGTAATTTCATTCTTTCAAGGAAGTATTATAAAGAAGAATGTAAATATAAACATATTTTAATTTTTATATTTGTTAATATAATCATATATTCTTTAATATTCAAGTTAATTATGTTCATTATTCACAAATTAATCTTTCTTATTTTTTATTTTGTCATTATTTAAGATAAAAGACATTATAAGTATTCTTTTTGTTTATTCTTTTTCAGAGAATTTTATTTAGTTTGATCATTACCTGTTGAGACTTTAATAAAACAAGTTATCTTATCTATATTCAATATATTTATTTTTATTCATTAAATAGAATTTTGGTATAAATTGAAGTTATACAATACTAACATAATTTTTAATAATTAATAAATATAATATTTACATAATGACGTTCAGTTGTATTATTAAATATCTTTCTTTTCATAAGACTCAGATTGAATTTTTGTTAAAGTTATATTGTTAAACTTTATTTTCTAATTATAATAATAGTAGTAATATAATAATTTGTCTTTCAATTCATTGAAGATGTTAATTTATTTGAAATGGCTTAAAGATAGTAGTTTAAATTAACAAATACTTTCATCTAAGTTATAGCAACAATTACATTATTGTAAAATATCATCAAAACTAATTCAACCAAAGGGAAAAGAATCAAAAAAGTTAAATCAAATAACAAATCCTTGTAATAAAATGAAAGTATTTTAAAGAAAATATATTTTGACGAGTTAACATGATTTAAAACAAGAACTAATTAGAAAAAAAAATACAAAAAAAATGAAGAGAATATCTCTAAATAAAGAAATAATGAAATTGATGAAATACAAATTATTAAGACTTGGTAATACTAAGAAAAACAAACAAATAATGAAATTTAACAAATGAAAGATTTTATTTATTTAAATGAAGAAAACAAAGATTAAAAAGAGGATAAAATATATTTAACTTGAGAATTTAAGTTATTAAATAGTGAGAAAAAGAATAATCAATTACTTTGTATTATTCATCCAATTAACAATAAGTATATTTTTAAAAAAAAAGAACAACAAATTATTGTAAAATAATACACTAATCTTGAATTATTTTTTAAGTAAAATCTTTTAGACATTAAAACAACGCCCAGGTATGTTAGTATTTTGTTTTAATAAATGTTCACAAGCACAACCATTAAAACACGACTTTCCTAAATCAGAAGGTAAAGAAAGAAATTTAATTTGTTTAAGTGATGTACATCTATAGAAACAGTAATTTCCTATTTTACTGATTGTTATTGGGACTGTTATTATATTCAATGATTTATTTTCTTTAAAACAATTGTCAGGAATTTTACAAATAGATGATGGTAAAATAACCTCTTTTAATGAAGAACATTTTTCAAAACAACTATTACCTATTTCACTAACCGATGTTGGAATGTTGATAGATGTTAATGATGTACATTCATAAAAACAATAATCTCCTATTAATCTAATTGTTGTTGGGATAGTAATATTTACAAGTGAAGAACATTCATAAAAGGAATAGTTTCTTATTTCACTTACTGAAGTTGGTATGGTGATTGATGTTAATGATGTACATCCATTAAAACAATTATCTTCTATTTTATTTATTGTTGATGGAATACTAATTGCTGTTAATAATACACATCCATTAAAACAATTATTTGCTATTTTACTTATTGATGTTGGTATAATAATTGATGATAAAGAAACACAATCACTAAAACAAGAATCACCTAATTCATTAACTGATGTTGAAATAGTGATGTTAATTAAAGATGGACATTTTTTAAAACAATTATTTGTTATTTTACTTATTGATGTTGGTACGTTAAATGATACTAACGAGATACAGCCATTAAAACATTGATTTCCTAACTCAATAACTGATGTTGGAATAATGATACTATTCATAAGTCTGCAATTTTTGAAACAACAGTCACTTATTTTACTAACTGATGTTGGAATATTAATACCATTTAATGATGTACAATTACAAAAACAATTATTCCCTAATTTCTGAATTGTTGATGGTAGATTAATAGAATTTAATGACGAACATCCACAAAAACAATAACACCCTAACTCACTTATTGATGTTGGAATATTAATACCAGTTAATCCTGTGCATTCATAAAAACAATAATCACCAATTTCACTTATTGATGTTGTAATATTAATATTATTCAATGAAACACATGAATAAAAACAACTATTAGATAATTTACTAATTACTGTTGGTATATTAACTAATATTAATGATGTACATCTTTTAAAACAATTAATTCCTATTTCACTAATTGTTGTTGGTATATTAATTCTTGTTATTTCTTCACATGACTCAAAACATCCATCTCCAATTAATTTAACTTCTGATGGTATTTTGTTTCCATATTTCATTCTATCTGATTTTGTATATTCGATATTTTTAAATACGTTTCCTTTTCTTTCATCCTTTAAATATATTGAATAATCTACTTTATACCATATTACTTTTTTAAATATTCTTCCATCTTTAAACACTTTATCTTTTTTATTATAAATATGAAATGTTTCAATATTAGGAAATAATTTTCTTGAATATTCATTTAATGGAATTGGATTAAAATGAAATCGTTCCATATTTCCTCTAAATCTTTTAACACCAACCTCTAAATTAATAAAGTCATTAATACTATTAAAGTACATTGATGTTATCATTATTTCATTATGTCCTAATCTCATTCTTTCTGTATCATTTTTTATTAGTTCTTCTTTTTATTTTAATTTGAACTTACAATATTTTTAAGATGTTTTTTTTTCTTTTTAGAACTTAATTAAATTTCATTGATTAAGGTTCAAACCCTTATTATTTTCCTGGTTCTGGTATTGTTTTCATTAAAATGGTTTAGTTTTAACCATTTAACTATTTAGGAATATGGTTAATGACGAAATATTGTAATATTGTTATTACTAAGATTGAATAAATATAAAAGAGTAATATAGAATAAAGAATAAAGAATAAAATAAGAATTAATAAATAAAGGTTTAATAATTTTAACACGTTATTCAGGTGTGAATTTCTTTCAATCCTTTACCCTCTGCAGAGTTTACTTCTTCTGGTTCTTCTACTCTCTGTATTCTCCACAATGGTCATTTTAGTATGTCATAAGATTTTTCATATTTGATATTACAATATTTTTTACAAGTATTTCCCATGGTATTTTAATTCTTTCACTTCTTAATAATCCAACTATTTCTTTACTTATCAATCCTCCCATTGTTATTACGATTGGAATAATTATTATTCTTATTAACCTTTCTATTTTTATAATATGTTCATGTAATTTCTTATATATATTTATTTTATTTGTAAACGTTTTACTCATACTCTTATCTCTTACTATTGTCATATCTATGATTAACACCTCTCTCTTTTCTTTAAATCTCTTACATAAATATCATGTCTTTTATAGACATTCCAATCATTTTTATTTATTATTTCTTGATTCAAAATCATAAGTATTTTATCTCTATTCTTCTTAACTCTTCTTTTCTTATTATTAATTTCTTTGTATTTTATTCTTTTTTATTTCTTCATCTGTATATATTTCTTATTTAATCTTTAAAGCCATCGATATATATATATATTCATTTTATCATGTTTATTTGTCTGTGATGTTTTATTGATTATACAATTGAGAATGATATGGTCTATTGTTATTTTATAACAGATACTATACATTGAATATTTTGGTTCATGTGTTCATATTGCTTTCATTATTCCAATATTTGTTGCTTTTTCTTTATTTGAATATATTCCTTATAATATTAATTGTTTTCAATATTTTAATTGTCTTATTTTAGTTTGTCATTTTATCTTCAAATCATTTTAAAATTTCATTATTTTCTTATTTCTCCATTTATTGATATATTCTTCTTGAAATTTATCTTTTATATATTTATTATTTTCTTTTTATCTTTCTTTTTTCTTCTTCCTCATTCATTTTTTAATTTCTTTTTTATTTATTCTTTTTCAATTTGATTTATACAATCTATTCAATATACCTTTCTTTTTTCATTTAACTTTATCATATCTCCTATTTTATCCAATCTTTTCATTGTGAAATACATAATTATTCTTATTATTTCAATACCATATTCGTCATTTATACTTTTTAATCCATCTCTATTATTATTTTGATTTATATATAATCTATTGGTACACATTTTCCTATTATATTTCTTTTAATCATTTCTTATCATTTTATCTATTTCTTTTATTTTCATAATTGTTCATTTAACAACAGAACCACTAATATATGAATTTAGGTATTATTTCTGTATTTATTCTATTAATATAATTCTTATTATTATCATTTCATTTATTTATTCTTATCATTCTTTTATATTGTTAATTATTTTCTTTATACATCATGATTCATCATTTCTTGTAATTTAATAAACTCTTAAATATTTATTTGTATGTGTTTTCATCTACTAATGGTATAGTATACATGTTATCTGGGATAATTATATTTCCTCTTTTTAATACTCCACATTTATTTATGGGAGATAATAAGAAATAATAAAAGAAAAAAAGAAAAATAAAAATGATTTCAATCAAAATAATCAAAATTCTTATTTTTATTCTTTAATTCTGAACCATCATTGTATCTTCTTCTCTTAAATATTCTCCTAAATCTCCTTGATTATAACAAACAATCCCTGTTGCACTTAATCGAGAATATTCTACTGATGAACATGCTGTTGTTCCAAATCCAATTGCAATATCATTTTCATTAAACATAACACATCCAATATTTCTTGCCATGTTATCTGTTATTTTACTTATTCCATTTTTAACTAAATGATTTCCATATAAAAATGATGTTTCTGCTTCTGCTTTGACCCATATTTTGCATGAACAATATTGTGCTAGATATGGTAATGCTGTAATGTGAAGTTTAAATTTCCCTGTTTTAGTGAATTTCCCAAAACAAGTACCAAGTGTTAACAGATTATCTCTTCCAATTGTTGTTGCTTGTTCTGCAATACTTAATCTCACATAATAAACTCTATCTTTTTGTAGTCTAAAACAATATTCTTCATTTTCATTGTCTATTAAAAATCGAATGTTTCTTCCTATGTACTTAGCTAATTTCTCAAAAAATGATTTTGTTTCTTCATCAGTTAATGGTCTCATTCTTTTCTTTTTTTTTTATTTCTTTTTTTTTATTTTTTTAAAGGGTTTTAATTTCTATTTCTTCTTTCTTTTTACAATTCTTTTTTTTAATTTGTTATTTATTCCACAAAATTATTTCTTTGCTTTTCTTCGTTCTTTTTGATTTTCTTGTTATTCTCTTCTTTATCACTTCTACTTATCTATTTCATTTCAATATTTACACTTAGTATTAGCTTTTAGTCGTATTCTTGCTTATCAACAAACTTTTTCTATTGTAGTATTTATTTCAATATTATAAGTTATTTCAATTTATCTGTTTTATACAGTTAGTGTGCTTGCATTGTTATTTGCCATTCACTCTTTGTGTTTTTACGCTATTTTATTGTTAAATAAGAATTCAGGTGTTACTTATTGAAAAATGTAATGTTGTAGTTATGTTTAGATTGTTCATTACTTGGTTACTCAATGAATAAAGTTTTTAATGATTATTCCTATCAGAGCAAGTGTTGGTTAAAGAAAATTAGAGTGAGTAAATAATCAAAACAAAGACTGGTATTTGGTCATAACACTTAATTTGATATTTTCTAAGATGAAAATATTAAATTGTTAGTTATTTTTAAAGTTGTTAATTAATGATTTTTAAACCAAAAAATTTGAAATTTGTTATTCAAGCAATTCATGAAAGAAATAATTGATAAAAAGAAGAATTTTATTCAAAGAATTGATGTTGAAAAATCGTTTTCTTCTATAAATAACCAAAAAATAACATGAACTAGAAAATCTAAATTCTTAAACGCTAAGTTAAAAGTAAACTATAATAAAATAGAAAAAGAATAATAATAATAAACATAAAATTTCAAGAGGTATATAAAAACAACATAGTTTTTAACTAATATCATTACAATGTCTATTATTAAGAAGTCAACTAAATCTATTAGTGAATCAACTGATAAGAAAAGAAAATCAGTTTCTAATGAGATTAAAGAAAAAAGCTTTATTATTGGATGTGTAATAAGATGTGGTATTAGTTTAGAACTAGAAAGAAAAACAAAGAATGATGAAGAAGGGCTTCAAAATTTTAATATTATTTCTGTTTGTGATGAAAGGATTCAAGAAGAAATTAATAAAAGATTTAAAGAGTGGGAAAAATTCATACAAGAAAATAATGAAGAAGTAGAACAAAGAGATAAAGATAAGTCATATCAAAATATTAATTATGAGACTTTACTTGAAGAATTAAGTAATTATGGAAACCAAATTAATTATAAGAAAACAAGAGGAAGTAGTAAAACGGTTAAAAGAAAAAGGATATCAACATTTAATGGAATAAGGCAAGAAGAAATATATGAAATTGGAGAAAAAGTCAATAAATATCTTATTAAAGAAATTAGAATTGAAGAAGGTAAAAAGAAAAAGGAATGTAGACAAGTTATTAATGAGATTGACCCTAATATTATTATTACACCATTATTTAGTAATTTTAAAGTATATTGTTCAGAAAGTAATTATGATAATGAAAATTTTAATCAAATAGAACAAATACCTGATTATTATTTAAGTAATATTGTTCAAATACCTGATTATTATTTAAGTAATATTGTTCAAATACCTGATTATTATCACAATGTGAGTTCAGTTAATGTACTACCAAATAATTGTTGTACGGAGGATATGTTTTTACTAAACCCACAGGTTCCAAGTCTATTTGAACAAACAGGATGTCCTAACATTGATGAATCAAACTTAAAATCACAGTCAATGTGAGAGAAAAATGACAAGAATAAGATATTTGATGTGATTTACTTTACTTAGACTGTAGTTATATAACATAACATTTATTGCAAAACTCTTTTAAATCTATTAAAAGAAAACAAAAAGAGTAATGAAGTAAATGTTATATATAAACAATCTAAGTACAGCAAATATAATTAAATTTTTATTCTTTGTTTTTATCTTAGTTTTAATAATATATTTTAAATACAAAGATAAATGGATATAATATTTTATATATTTCAATATAAATTTATTTTATTTTAAATTATTATTGATTCATATATTTTTATATTATTTTTATCAATATAATTGATATTATTTCACTTTTTATTATACATACTCATTATTAACACTTTTCAAATGATAAAAAATAAGAGAAGTTTAACAATAATCATCATTTCATCTGATTGTAATTTTCATAAATAATAGTAGAACAAAAATATTTCATAATTAAATAAAATGAACCAGAATCAATATTTTTATTATAATTTAATTTATTATTTGAATAAGAAATTAGAAATTATTTTACTATTCAATTACTCATCATTTAATATAATTTCATTTTATATTAACTTTATTTTATTTAATTCATTATTTTTATTTGAAAGAATGAGTTAGTTTTAACACTAATGATTTGTTTATTATAGTCAATAATAGTGTTTATGAGACACCCATATTGTAGTATTATTAATGATTATTTTTATAAGCCATTTACAATTGATTTGGTTACTATTTTCATTATTTTATCAAAATTTATTTAACATTAAGCAATTGATTTTATTTTAAT